TTTTTTTTAACCAGTACTTTAATAAATATTTTGATATATGTTGCTAAAAAAATTTTTGTTAGATTTAACTAGAGTTTCCACGTTTCTAAAATTTCTATTGATACGTTGACATGTTTTTGTGATTTGCTGTTATGTTTTCGTAGTTTGATGCTTGGATTTTTTTTGTTTATAATCTGATATTTGGAGTTTGCTGATGTTAGTTTAGCGATAATTTTTCTTTTTTTATTTGAGTGGATTTAAAAACTATATATATATATATATATATTTGAATCATTGTAATATGCAAGGTTACTCTAAGGCGCCCCTACGGCTACTTTTTTTTTAATGAAAATGAAAAATAATTTAACAGACTATCTAAAATACTCTACTAATTTGCTCTTCAGCATCCGACTTTGGCGACCATAGATGATAAAAAATTTCTTGCTTAAATGAAATTTTTTATTGAAAATAAAAGAGAATCATATAACACTTCGGCCCCAACGATTGGAGATTCCCTATCAGTTTTTACTAGATTCCTCTTCGACAGCTCCAATCAGTTTTTACTAGATTCCTCTTCGGCATGGTAGCCGAAACCAGAGACGACCGATCACATTTTTGTTGAAAATAAAAAATAATCTGACCGATTATGAAAAATAATCTAATAAATTACTCTCCAACAAGGTCTAACACCGACGATTGGAGACAGCAGACCATTTTTTAGTTGGCAATATCAACATCATTTTATATCAGTTGGAGGCTTGTCTCAAACTGCTAGAAAAACTGGCTGTTGGAATAGGCCCGTCAAGTAATTCAAATTTACATGAAAGAACGGAGGAGTGGAAAGAAAAAAAAAAATGGAAATGTTTCAACACTATATGAAATGAATGAACAAAAGTAGAGCTGTAAGTCGGGCTGGCCCTAGGCCTGTCAAGCTTTAAGATCGGGTTGGGCCGAAAGGCTGAAATTTCACCTTTATTTGCCACTGGCGTATTCGTCGTCCTTCTCTCCTTTGTAGTGCTTGAAATATTAGAGCCTGTTTGGTAAAGAGATTCATAGCCCATTTGGTAAAGAGATTCATTCCCTAATTTGAATAATGATTCATAGTTCGCTACAGTATTTTCTCTCACAAAAAATACACGTAAATTAAAAATAATTCTAATCTATGAACTAAACGGGCTCTAAGTTATTGCTTTGTGCCCTTTGTCCAAATGGAGCACGCCCTTAGAAATTTGGAGATTCGGCTAAAAACAACTTTGCATGATCGCATCGAGTAAATGGTCGAGCGCCAAATTGTAATGAGACCTCCCCTTCTTGTGCAAGGATAACAGCCACAAACTTGGCAACAATATTGGTTCTTCGAAGAAAGGCGCATTACTATTTTTTCCAATGGCCACAAATCCAGAGACTTGACCGTTATGTTTGTTCCTTGACATTTCAGCAAAGCTCATATGTGTCACTGTTTGGAGCCAAATAAAATGTCCTGTATACGGCCTAATTTGACTCAGATTTGTTTTTGGGCCTCCACCTAACCCTTTTAAGCCCTATTGCCTTTAAGAGGTTCTAATAATGCCTTGTGCTTCCTTGCTTTGGGCTAACGTTTCTAACTCCCGACCAACTATAGGCCCGACTTTTATAGGCCCAAAATTAGGATGGCTTCCTATGCAGGGACGCCATTTGGGATGAGATTACTGGTACACGTGGGTCCTCCCCACTTTCGTGCTTGCCAAGAGAAGATGGATCGATTTAGCGTACTGCCACGCCGTCTCTGCCTCCACCGGCTCTACAACCGCCATTAAAACTGGCGTTCTTGAATTTCGAGTCTATCGTCATGCGTTCATCGGAAACTACCACATTGCCGGAATTATAACCGTATTTTTAAGGCCTCGTTCACTTCGCGGATTCGAGTTTTCAATTCGAACTAAGATGTGACATTTTCTGAGAGCTTTTCACTATAGCAAAAAAAAATTAAATGCGATATTTTCTGAGAATTTTTTACTGTAGAAACCTAAATGTTGAGATCTGGATCTACTTTTTCGCCTCCCTCCTTTCTCCCGTTCGCTTCTCCATGAAACTCCCCCAATGCTTCTGCAAATTAAGCCCCCAATTCTGCCATTAGAGATCATAATGTGTGGCTGATTGTTCTCCAAATTGATCAATCCGAGATGGACCCTTGCTCCCTGACAAGGAATCTCCAAAATTGGCGACGTAAATCCCTCCTTGAAACCTCTAATCTTAATCTTGGCATACAAAAGAAAAGATTGATCTAAGGTTTCTTTCACAGTTTCAATGAGTCCGCCACTGGCGTCGCCTATGATTTTAAACACATGGTAGTTCCATAAATTAAGAGGCAATCCCTCAATTCCTATCCAACTGTTTATGGCTCTTCTATTTGGACATATTCCCAATGTGAATACAACTGTTTTTGATTATGTCAAAAGGCTTTGTTCTCTACTATGGGACCTGTTCTCTAAATCACTTCGTGTTGGGTTGCATTCGAGGAGGAAGTCTTTAAGACTGCCCCTACGATTATCTTTTCGAACTGTTGTAACCCCCAACTTCTCCCAACGAGATTGTAAATAGCTTTAAACTAATCCTAAACTCATGGTAACACTAGTTGGAAGTAACCGGACTCATATCCGAAAATAGGAGAGTACAAAGTGAGATGTTTAAACTTCTAGAAAGGAGGGTAGGACCGACAATATGGGTCACGACACGACGATACGACTCAAAAACAACACGAATTTTACGGATTAGGATTGAGAAAAAAGAGGTTCGGGTTAGAATTTGATCGACCTGAAATTGACACGAAAAACATTGGTCAATTTCAGTTTAGACCTGCCTAACCTGAACACGACACGAAACTCGTAAAAAACTAAAAAATACATATATTTTTCATTTCATATTTTAAATTTTATTATGAACTTGTGATATCATGATAGTTATACTCAAAATCTTATACTATTATTTGCTTAATTTCAGTAGATGTTATTGTAATTTAGTGTGTTATAAATTTTAATTTATTTCTAATATGTAATAAACTAAATAAAAGTATATAATTTTCGTGTCAATTTCAAATTCACGGGTCAATTTCGTATCACGGGTAATTTTCAAGTCGTGTCGTGTCAACTCGTAAAGTGATCGTGTCGTGTTCGAGTTGTGGTTTTTAAAAAATTTCGTGTCACGGGTCGTATTTAGGTTGACTGTAAATTTAAAAAGAAACGATTAAAACACGACACGTGACAAAAATTGTCACTCTTAGAGGAGAGAGAGCATCTCCCTCATCGTCTTTGTAAGAAAATATGGATCATGTTAAAACACTAGTTATAAGCATGTTCAAGAAAATGGGATTAAATATAAATATCTAGTACTTCACATAAGCAAAAGCACCACAAAATTTATCTTCCTTTTATGGGCACAATGTTGTTATATATTACTCTTGCATGCTGAACATAGTAGTATCAACTACACACACACATATATATATATATATATATATATTCATACGTAAGAGATACAAATTAAGTTGATAATTCTATTTTGGTCTACTGCTACCTAACTGAGCTAACTTTGTATATATATTATATAAACCGCTTTTTTAAGCGTCAAAACAGTAAATAACACGTAAATAAAAAATATAAAAGATGCAGGGCATACATGAAAAGTTTTTTCTTAAATTGCACGTAAGAGTCAGTATTTCTTTTAGCGGCTTTGATAGGTGCAATTACCGTGGCGTGCCAACTTTTTCTCTAAAGCCTACAAAGCAAAGCAGCAGCGCAGAGAGGCAAAAGCAAAGAGAGGCAAGCTCGCAAACCAGACTTTCCTAATCTATGCTTTCCTAAAACAAAATATTATAGATCTGTATTGCTAAGAGTTAGCAGGCAAAATAACTCTGCTCTCTCTTGTCCCAATCGCTTCAATCACTCATATGTCACCCACGGAGCGGTAACAAGGGATAACTTTACTGAAAGCTTAGTAAGGCAAGGAACTTTTTGCTAGACTTCTTGGAAATAGTGCTTTAATAAATCTATAAAATTAAAATTGATAACAATAATCTAAATTAAACTTCATTCTATGTTATCACATTTTTTTTTTCCATATATCAGCACTTAAAAAATAATAATATAACCTGCTCACTATCACACGCGTATCTAAAAAAGTTTCTTCTTACTCAATTACTACAAAATTATAAACTAACTAAATTAGAGTCATGCTTACTTAAAACTGATCAACCTTAAGAATAATTTCCTAAATCAATTATTGATTGCTATCCACATTAATTGATTCAAGTAATGGTGAAATAAACTAATCAACTAACTTATCACACTTGCTAACCCAATAAATATATCTACTAAAACCCAAATTGTTCCCAACTAAAACATGTATTAAAGTTATGATAAAAACTTTCTATACCTAAATTAGGAGTTCCAATATCGGGTACTACACAAACCTCTGAGATGAACTTAGCGTTTAAGAAGGAATTTTTTACTTTGACGTCAAAATTTCTATTCGGAGCACCAAGAGAAAGGACTTTGGCAGAGAGATTTACTTTGAGTTGAACTTCCTAACTCAGAAAAAAAAAAAAAAAAAAAAAAAAAAAAAAAAAAAAAAAACATTTGAAACGACAATGTGGGGGCAAAACGCATTCTCACACCATGAGAAATGTAGTATTGTTATCCATTGACATTTGCGATGATGAAGGCAAGGGTGATTTCAGTGTACGATTTTCAGGGGAAAAAAAAAAGAATAGAAAAGAAAAAGATGTGTCAAAAATAATACAAATCAGAAAGAAAATCGTACCCTGGCAGCACATGAACCAATCTCTGCCTTGACATGATCGTGTCCAGTTTCTCCTATTTGGCCCTCATCTCCTTCATAATCGGTGTTGTCAGACTTTAGAAACCCTAGAAAAAGAGAAGAAATCAACCAAGACCTAGAAGAGACAGAGAGAAACCCTAAAAATAAGAGAGAAAAGAGATCAAAAGAACCCAAGAAGAGATAGTGAAGAAATCCAGTTTCTTCAAACCCTAGAACGTCAGCACACGAACCGATCTCTCCCTTTTCACACGAACGCCTCTAGTTTCTTCAATTTTGCTCTTCTTCTTCATCATCACCAATATTAGAATTTGGAAAGGCGAGAAATCAGAGAGTGAAAAAATCAACCAAGAAATAGAAAAGAGATAAAAAGACAAACCCTAGAAATTGGAGAGCAGAAATCAAAAGAACACAAGCAGAGAGTGATAGAGAAGATATCTAGTTTCTTCCAACCCTAGAAACGATCAGCACATGAATTGATCTCTACCTCATCCCTGACACAAATGCGACCAATTTATTCAATTTGGCTCTTTCTTCGTCATCATCGCCGCTATCATAAAGAAGCCAACCAAGACCTTGAAGACAGACAGAGAGAAACCTATAAATTAGAGAGAATAAATCAAAAGAAGCGAAGCATAAAGAGCTAGAGAACAAGAAAGCTTGGGTAGTGGGATTACCAAGCCCGCAAGACTCTAAAAGGAGTGCACTCTAATAGGCGTTCTGGCTCTCTAACTTAGGGGACGTTTGGTTTATAGATTCAGAACTATGATTTAGAATTATTTTTAATTTACGTGTATTTTTTATGAGAAAAAATACTATAGCGAATCACAAATTATGACACGAATCTTTATTCCAAACGCACCCTTAAAAATCCCAGCCATTCGTATATCCAACAGTTATTGAGTGACATGATCCTAACCGTCCATACGGAAATAAAAGCTTCTTTTTTTTTTTTTTTTTTTCAAGGATGCTTGCCCATCATTTTTTTTTTAACTTTGCTTGTCTAGCAATTAAATGGTTCGTTTCATGCCAAAAATTGTCAATTCAATTTTTTTTTTTTTAACTTTTAAGAATTTAATTCGCTAAAGGAGAATTTTTATAGCGTATGTAAAACAAAATTTTAAACTGTAAAACATCATATAGATCAAATTTCATTAGATCATTTCCTATCAAACCATTTATTAGCCAACACAATTAAAACAACTCCAACTATGCTAGTTATTTCATGTTTTTAGCTAAAATAGTCAATGATTTAGTTTTTTTTAAGCTTCTCTCCACTCTAACCATTAGCTAAATGGTTAGCTATTTTGGCTAAAACATTTACCACTAGCTAAATATAATTAGTAAGAAGTTGCTAACTATTTATCATTTTTATTATTTTATTTTTTGTTTTGACATAAAGTAAAAGTTTAAAAAAAAGTTATTTAAATTTTAAACTAAAAAAATAATTAAAATAATCCATGTTTAGCTAAAATAGAAATATGGTTTGAGTGACTCATTAAAAAGTTACTACCTAAAATAAGTTTTAGCCATTTTAGTTAAAAATTAACTAAAATTTAGAGAGCTCTCTTGGAGATAAATGTATCCAAGTCGATTCGAACACAATGCATACAAGAGTAACCTATGTAACTTGTTTAACAATTATGTCGAGTATATAAATGACACGATAATAATCCATTTGACATTTATATTGATCACCAAATTTAATCTCTACATTCAAATTTTTTGTTTTAACTAAATTATATAAACTTCTACATAAGATAAAACTACACGTGAATAAAACATAATTGATCATATCTATTTAGGTCAATTTCTATTAAACTAGTCATTCGTTCGTGTCAATCCACCTATAATCCAAACTCATTTAAAATAAATCTAAATTCACTATTTTTATTAGTTTTAACTTTTGAGTCGTGTCATGACATAAATTGCCATCATATTTGAAATTGTATCATATATGTAAAACCTTTATAACCCACCATGAATTGCTTATATATAAAAATAAAAATAAAAGGTGTTAGGTGATTAATGTTTTACTAAACCCCTTGGAATTATGAGAGTGGCTAAAAAGTATGCATAAAAAAAAAGTATGCAAAGAAAAAAGATGATCTAAAATATCCAAAGGAAAAATGACTTAATTTTAGGATAAGAAATAACTTCGAATTTTAGGATTAGAAATAACTTTGTTATTTTTTTCCTTAAAAGAAATAACTTACTCTATTGCAGTGGAGCACATTATTCCTATGCAGTCTATTCTTCCTCAAAATCTTATTACGGTTCTATGAAATTCTTCATGGTAACAGAGCGGGAGGTCCTGAGTTCAAACAAGAACAGAAGGCTCATCCCTTGTAGCAAGGGGCACTCATGCAGCTCATGATACAATAGAAGACTCGACCCTGGGGTGATCACTGCCGGAAAACAGGACATACTAGAGAAAACTGCTGGAAAATCCATGGTAAGCCCGTTGATTGGAAGTCGAATCGAGAAAGAAAAGCTCAAAGTTTTGTTGCTGCCCCCGAAGACAAGTCCATCAAACTCGGAACCTAGTCTCTTCAGCAAGGAGCAAATTGAATGCTACAGAAGATGTTCAACCAGAATTCAAACCTTGCCCCCACTGTCTCCACGGGATCCACTGCACCGAAAGGTGTTTTTTCAGCCACTCATCATGTCAAAACCGAGGATTCCACAGGTTGGATTGTTGATTCAGGAGCCTCAGACCACATGACTGGTGATGCTTCATTATTTTAAATGGGGATAAACAGTGCAATTATGGGGGTTTGAACTCAGAACTTCCCGCTCTGATACCATGTTAGTTTACCAATCCATCCCAAAAGCTTAAGCTGTTAGGAGGTGGGCCCTTCACAAATTCCATGGGCTAGGGCCCTGAACTCAGCTTCAGCACTACTTCATGCAACTACTGATTGCTTTTTACTCCTCCAACTGACCAAATTTCTCCACACAAAGGAACAATATCCGAAACTTGATCGTCTATCAATCAAAGACCCTGCCCAATCTGCATCTGACAGAATCTCTACGCCCCTGTTGATTCCTTTCTTAAAGAATATACCTTTACCGGGAGACATCTTTAAGTACCTCAGAATCCTGTTCACTGCTTCTTGATGCTCTTCATTTAGACTATTCATGAACTGACTAATTGTGTTGACTGCAAAACTGATGTCTGGTCTTGTGAGACAAGTAGATCAATTTGCCCACTAATCTGAGTTTGCAGCCAAGCATGCATGTTTCCTTTAGTAAGTCCAGTGTATATTTCCTCTACAAGACTGAAATTTCTTTACTAGACCGTGCTACCTCCATTCTAAGAAAGTGTATATAAGATCTTTAATTTCAAATTCTCGACTTAGAACCCCTTTTAGCCGAGTAATCTCTACCTCATTATCTACTGTGACATTATGTCATCAACATAGACAATAAGGATTGTGATCTTACCATCTGGAGTTCTCTTGATGAACAAAGTGTGATCAGATTGTCCTTGCAAATATCTCTGCTTCTGAATTACCTTGGTGAACCGTAAAACTAAGCTCTTGGAGATTGCTTGAGACCATACAGTGACTTCCCAAGCCTGCAAACCTGTTTGTAATCACTTGACTTCTTGAGGAATGCATTTTTAACATCAAATTGGTGCAACTTCCAGTCAAGGTTGGTGGCTAAAAGAAGTAGAACTCGGATGGTATTCATCTTTACAACTGGAGCGAAGGTTTCCTAATAGTCAATCTCATAGGTTTGTGTAAAGCCCTTTGCCACAAGTCTTGCCTTGTACCTGTAAATACTTCCATCTGCTTTGTATTTAACATTAAAAACCCACTTACATCCTACAACATGTTTTTCCTGAGGGACTTGAGTGAGCTCCCATGTATCATTTTTCTGCAAGGCTCTTAACTCTTCATTTATTGCTTTTCTCCATTCTGGATGTAGTAGTGCCTTGAGTGGTCACAATCCGTCAAACTTGTGCTCAATGGCAGAGGAAAACTCGGATGTATTACTGGGGAAGAGAAGCAGCTCGGAGAAAAGGATTCAGGCCTCAAAAAATGGAGGTCAGAAAATTCCTGGGTAAGAGCATGACTTCTAAATTCCATGGAGGCAGCAATTGCAAAACCAAACATGTTCCTACCAACTGCCAAAGTTGTGTGGGATTCCGTTCGGCAAACATACTCAGATTTGGAAAATTCTTCACAGATCTTTGAATTAAAATCAAAGCTCTGGCAATCCAATCAAGGAGACCGTGAGATCATGGTATATTACAACGAGATAGTGACCCTTTGGCTGGAACTGGATCAATGCTATGATGATGAGTGGGAGAATCCGAATGATTGTGCAAGGTATATGAAACGTGAAGAGAATGATCGTGTCTATATGTTTTCTTGCAGGACTTAATAGAAGCCTAGATGAGGTAAAGGGAAGGATTCTTGACCGAAAACCCCTACCCTCTATTTGTGAGGTTTTTTCAGAATTACGACAAGAAAAAAATAGGAGGGGAATCATGCTAAACAGTGCAACACCAGCACCCAAACCTGAGAATTCTGCACTAGTCACTTGTAATTCAGGAGGATCTTATATGGAAGGAGAAAGGAAAAAGCGATCATGGTGTGATCATTGTAGAAAATCATGACATACTAAGGAGACATGCTGGAAAATTAATGGGAAACCAGTGCATTTGAGGAAAAAACAGGAGGGCAATGGCAGGGCTCTTCAAACCACCACTGACGATTCTCAAGAGAAATCAATCAACTCGGAGGTGCATCCTTTCACAAAGGAACAGTTAGAGCATCTATACAAACTCTTTAAATCTCCACAATTCTGTCACTCCTTCATGTTCCCTTGCAACCTAAGGTAATTCTTATGTCACAGCCCTCCCTAGCTTCGGTCTTTCTTCTAGCCCTTGGATTATAGATTCCAAAGCAACAGATCACATGACAAATTGCTCACATCTCTTCTCATATTATAGTCCGAGTGCAGGAAACAGGAAAATAAAAAGGACGTTTGGTTGATGGATTCAGAATTATTCTCGATTTACGTGTTTTTTGTGAGAGAAAACATTGTAACGAACCACGAACCATAATTCGAACCATGGCACGAATCCTTAAACCAAACACACTCTAAGATTGGTGATGGATCTTTTTTGGCAATAGCTGGGATTGGTTCAATCAAAGTTTCCCCCCTTATAACTCTTATTAATGTGCTTCATGTTCCAAAATTATCATGTAACCTCCTATCTATCAGTAAAATAACCCAAGATCTTAATTGTCAAGCTAATTTCTATCCAACTCATTGTGAGTTTCAGAAATTGGCCTTGGGGAGAATGATTGACAGTGCTAGGGAAAATGGAGGACTATTGTTTTGAAGATGGAACAATACCATGTAAACCAGTCCAAAGTTTATGTTTTGAATCTATGTCTACTTCTAGTAATCATGAAATTATGCTATGGCACAATATAGGCTTGGCCATCCAAGTATGTATTATTTGAAACATTTGTTTCCATCTTTGTTTATTAATAAGAATCCATCTTCATTTCAGTGTGAGATTTGTATGTTTGCAAAACAACATCGATCCCCCTACCATCCACGACTATTCAAGCCCAC